ATCTGATAAAGGGTTGACATCGAAAATATATAAAGAGCTCATGTACCTCAACAAACAAAAAGCAAATAATCCAATTAAAAAATGGGCAGAGGAGTTGAACAGACAGTTCTCCAAAGAAGAAATTCAGATGGCCAACAGACACATGAAAAGATGCTCCACATTGCTAGTCATCAGAGAAGTGCAAATTAAAACCACAATGAGATATCACCTCACACCAGTAAGGATCGCCACCATCCAAAAGACAAACAACAACAAATGTTGGCGAGGATGTGGAGAAAGAGGAACCCTCCTAGACTGCTGGTGGGAATGTAAATTAGTTCAACCATTGTGGAAAGCAGTATGGAGGTTCCTCAAAAAGCTCAAAATAGACATACCATTTGACCCAGGAATTCCACTTCTAGGAATTTACCCTAAGAATGCAGCAGCCCAGTTTGAAAAAGACAGATGCACCCCTATGTTTATCACAGCACTATTTACAATAGCCAAGAAATGGAAGCAACCTAAGTGTCAGTAGATGAATGGATAAAGATGTGGTACATATACACAATGGAATATTACTCAGCCATAAGAAAGAAACAAATCCTACCATTTGCAACAACATGGATGGAGCTAGAGGGTATTATGCTCAGTGAAATAAGCCAGGTGGAGAAAGACAAGCACCAAATGATTTCACTCATATGTGGAGTATAAGAACAAAGAAAAACTGAAGGAACAAAACAGCAGCAGAATCACAGAACTCAAGAATGGACTAACAGTTACCAAAGGGAAAGGGACTGGGCAGGATGGGTGGGAGGGGAGGGAAAAGGGTGGGGGAAAAAGAAAGGGGCATTAAGATTAGCATGTATAATTAGCATGTGGGGGCGGCACGGGGAGGGCTGTGCAGCACAGAGAAGACAAGCAGTGATTCTATAGCATCTTACTATGCTGATGGACAGTGACTGTAATGGGGTTTGTGGGGGGGACTTGGTGAAGGGGGGAGCCTAGTAAACATAATGTTCTTGATGTAAATGTAGATTAATGATAACAAAAAAAAAAAAAAGGACAGAGAAGTAGAGAAAAGGAATGCGATCACTCCTGATCCCGATATAATCTGTTTATGTGCCCATGTGCTTCCTTCTGGCATCTGTTCTGAGTACATCCGTTCCTACAGAGCTACAGTCATGCCGTATATTCTGCTATTTAAATTTAACTCCAGAGAACAAGCACTTTCCCACATTCTGATAAACTCTATAAACATCCTCGGGTGGCTGCCTGACATTCTATCAAGAGGGCAGCCCCCTGAGAAATTCTGCCCCCATCCCCAGGGAACTCAGGCAGAAGGCCCTGGCCTTGACAGTGACAAGGCTGGACAGTTCACAATACACACCGGGTACCTGCAAGGCAGGGCCACTGTGGAGGAACACTGTGGCTGTTTGGGTTAAACAACCCAGGTTGTCAGGTCGGCAGTAAATATACACGGTAGGTTTGTCATGTGCCAAAAAGAGCAAGGTTCAGGAAACTGATCTGCTGTCTCCCTCTGAAGTCCCCACAGGCAACAGGAACCTCAAGGACCTTGCTTCGATTATCTAGGAAGGTGGGAAATGAGGAGCTACATTTCAACCATAAATGGTCACTGTTCCAAGTATGGGGAGAGGGGACTGCAATCAGACAGAGACCCTAACCTTACAGTCAGGGCTGACTCATAAACAGAGCATGGCAGATGCACACAAAGGTCTGCTAAGGGAATGCAGAAGAGAGCTGGGGGCAGGGTGTCTGAAAATCAGGTCCAGAGGAAGCCAGGTCAATCATTTTAACAGACCAGACCCGGGCATGGGCATCTATTAAAAGAGGTTTCAGGCAGAGGCATGGAAAGTGAAGCCTATTCCAGGAGTGGGGAGAGGTGCAAAAGCCCAGCAGGGTCCCTGGGGACCACCAGCAACCCCATCCTTGGTGAGGAATTTGAACTTTGCCTTGTAGAAGCAGTGAGTTTTAAGGAGGGTCTATTTATTAATTGTTTGGGAGAGGGGAGGCTACCTGGCTGTTTTGCATTATTTTTGCTCTTCCAAAAACACCTTTTTCTGCACACAAGTAATATATACATGTACTTATAAGTTCTGTTTAACTATTTAAACATATATAATATATACATGTACTTTTAAGTTCTGTTTAAATATATATAACAATATATATAATATAGATAATCAAAGTCTCCTTAATGATACCCTCCCTCCCAGAGAGGATCACCATTAACTGGTGGATGCAAACGCCTCCATCAGTTTTGCTATTCAAATACTAATATACGTGAATATGAGGATTTTTTTATAAGAGTGGGACCATATTATATTTCAACTTGTTTTTTCACATATCATCATATAAAAATAAAAATAGTGAACATTTTTTCATCCTTATAGTGGGCCAGCACTCTCCCAACGGCTTTTCATGGATTTTGTCCACCCCACCCCACCCCAAAGTATATATGTATCTTGGCACTGTTTTCAAGTCAAATCACATAGAAAATAGAAACATCATCTTTGTTTTCATGTAAATACAGCACTGTGTTAGGAACATGGGTCTATAATTTAAATAGGACCCTCTTGATAGACACTGGAGCTGCTTCCCTTTTTTCTTTATTACAAACAATATACAAAACACATCTTTGAATGTATAAATGTAAACATTTAAACAAATATTTCTGCACTGGTTTCTCAACTGAGGGTGGTACCCCCTCATTGGGGCTCTGCAAATATATGGCATTTGGGGAACATTTTGGGTTGTCATAATGAATAGGGGGCAAATATGACCTTTAGTGGGCAGGTCTGAATGTCCTACAATATAAAAGACAGTCCCAACCAATAAAGGAGGGCACTTCTCACAATGCTGATGCACAGGGAATCCAGAAGGAACCCTCTGCCCCAAGATGAAGCTATGGAGATGGAATTGCCATCTGAGATAATATTTTTTACTCGAGTAACTATTGTGAAATGGCCCACAGGGTTTATGTTTGATGTCCTTTAGAGAGACAGCAGCCATAGAGAGGTGAGCAGAGCGTCGTCATCCCCTCACTGATTCCAGATGAAGCCCCTACTATGAGCACAGCACAGCTCTAGGCACCGGGGATGAGAGCCGAACAGGCCACCGGGTCCTGCCCAGTGAACTTCACATCCTAAAGCCATTCCTACAGACAAACCACCCTTCACCAGATCACTTGGTCTGTGTTTCCTTTAAAGGCTTCACTGTGCTACGTTTTGCGGTCAGAGGCTGTGTCTGTCCATGTCTAAGACCCTTCAGCTCCTGGGCCCCATGTCTGCCAAAAAGCCCACCAGGGCTCATGATTCCTCTGAACAGACAGCTGTGGGAGGGGTCTCTCCGAGGGGGACTCTCCCCTTAGAGGTCACCAGGACCCACCTTCCCTGGAAGCAGTCCCTCCTCTGTGACCCCCTCCCACCATGCCATACCCTGGCCAGACTGAGTGGTTCAGAGACACAGGATGCCTGACCCAGGCTGGACCAACCAGATTTTCCTTCCCTGGAATCGGGGTGGAAAGGGTTAAATCTGACTTTGCAAGTGGCTCATCTGTAATGAGAGGACGCTGGGGCTGTGGCAGTCCATTCTCCTGCTGTGTAGACTGAGGGGCACAGAAGAATAAAGAATAGGCAAAGAGGGTGGAGAGAGGGTGGTGGGGGTGGGAGGAGAAGGAGTCAGTCAGTCTGTCTATCCCACTGCTTCCTGGTTCCCAGATCTGTGCCCTGAGAGACCCAACATTGTTTCACCCCTGGGTCCCAAGAAACACTCCTGGACTATTACAATAAATTCCTTCTTTCCCTTGACCTGCTGTGAGCTGGATTCTATTACCCGAGCCCTAACCCTGCCAGGCCCCTCTGGCACCTGGATCCCCTCACACACGATACAAGACACCCCCAGGATCAGCGTGGGCTCAATCCTCCTGACCTGAAATGAACAGACAGGAGCACCAGGCTGCTGTTGGCCCTTCCCACGCTGCCCTCCACGGGGCTGGGGGTGTGTTTCAGAGACTGCCATAGGACAGGAAAGCGGGGCAAGCCACAACATGACCCTTCAGGGGCCCCTGAACCTCAGAGGGGACCCACAGGGCTATTTCTGGAGTTGCCTGCCCCAGAGAGACTGAAACTAGAACTCTGGCCCTGAAAGGAAAAAAATACCCAACTGTCCAAGAATTAGAATTATTAATTTTCTAAAAACAGATTAATTCTGAAGTTAGGAAAGAATGGTTGCAATTTCAAATCCCAAATAAGTGGGAATAGGCATTTTGCTCACAGTATAACAGATACTTACAGTTGGTGAGAATTAAATAAAGACAACAGTATTGCATTAAAAACTTTTTTCACTACCAGTTAGTATACAGAAGTTTAATCATGTTCACCCTTTCAACTTCTCTCCCTCTCCTTCACACCCAGCTTTGTCAAGGTATGAACACAAATCCCTAACAAAATAAGTACCTTTTCCTCAATCCAGAAGGACGCCCAGCCTCAGCAGTGGCTTTTTTTTTTTTTTTACCTCAACCAACACAAAGAACTACACTTCACATCATGTGCCTGCACCCACATCTGCACACATCAGGGGTGAAATAAAAATTTAACGACTGGTACGTCGCGAGAGGCTGGCCGTCAACTAGTACGGCTACTCCATCTGTGTGTTCACCTGGGTGTACGTTTGTCCCCCAAAATAAGATCTTTACCGTTTGCAGGACTCTCCAGTATTCCGTCTGTTCTGTTCTGTTCTGTTCTGTTCCATTTCTTAAATAAGCTGGTCAAGGTGTTCATACCCCAGGAGCGGGTCCTGAGCAGCTCTTTGGAGAACACTGCTCTCAAATAATGAAACTTGGTTTAAAGTGACAAAATGCTCCCAGCTTAACAGGCACATCCTCACATCCAGAATTCAAAGTGTTTCGAAAGACTGGGAAGACCTCAACCAGCGACCCCAAGTCCCCAACCCTTGGCGGCAGCTGAGTGGGTGTGGGAAGGTGGGCCAGGCGGTCCGCTCACCTTAAAATGGAAGGAACTGGCTGGAGACCCGCTGGAGCCGTACTGTTCACCCTTCCTAAGGTCGCTGTAGTAGTTATCAACCTTGGAATTGACGCTCTGGTGTGACCTGGGGTCATCGGTGATGGAACAGATGAAGTAACCATCCTCCTCGTCGCTGTCTGCGTCAGATTCCCGGTCGTGGCCAGCCCGGGGGGTCTGGCTGCCGTCAATGCCTTCCAGGCGGAAGATGAGGTCTTCGTCCGCCATGCTCCTGGGGCGCTCGGTTTACCCAAGGGGTGGGCGACACAGCCAGAGTTACCGGGCAAATGCGGCGGCGAGGGTCCTGCGAGGCAAGCCAGAGAACGGGCACCCGGGCCCAGGGGTGAGCTCGCTGGGCACCTCACCCCGAAGGCCACTGCCGACCAAAGGGGCCAGCACCCCCACAGGGAATACTACAGTTATCTTTTGGAAAGGCACGGGCAGGCGGCATCTAGGAACATTTAAGTGTACAAGCCCGTAGACCCAGTAATTCCACTTTAAAGAACGCAGCGCTTGAAACAAGGCCAGGAAAATAAATGCTTCTTATGCAGCGACAGTGGATCTTTTTCAGCACATCAATAAGGCCAAGTCATTCCCCTGCTTAACCCCCTCCAGCGGCTTCTCTCCATATTCTTAATAAAATCTAAGCACCTTTTAAGGCTGCAAGGCCTGTGTTAGTCGGCCCTTGCTCACTTTTCCTCTGGCCCTGGCGGCTCTCCAGGCTCGCTGGCCTGCTTTCTGTTCCGTGAAGTCAGGGAGCCCAATCCATCCCAGGGCCTTTTATTTTCTGTTCCCTGTGCCTGAAACAGTCTTCCCAACCTTCCAGCTCTGGGTTCTTTCTCATCATTTGGTTCCCAGATCAAAAGTCACCTCTTTAGAGAAATCTCTGATTCCTCAATTCAAAGAACTCCTCTCAAACGCATGCCCAGGCACTCCCCAGCACATTACTCTGGTTTATTCTTTTCATAAATGACTTCCCCAAGCTGAAATCTCATCTACTTTTTTACTGTCTGTATCCCCAGTGAATCAAAGAGGACCTGGCGCAGAGTAGGTACTCAATATACATCCTCAGATTGGCTGAGTGGCCCAAAGCGTGTTCTCTGCAGCATGATAAACAACAGCAGACAAAAGTTAACAGCTCACCATGCCCATCAATGGTTATATTAATTACAGATTTTCTACACTGTGAAGGGGAAAGTCTAGATATACACAAACACACAAAAATAGTCAAGAAAGAGTTCAGCAAGATTTTTGTAGGGTACAAAAATCAACAGTATTTCTATACACTAGCAATGCAAACTCCAAAAATGAAATTAAGAAAACAATTCCATCTGTAAATAGCATCAAAAAGAATAAAATACTTAGGGACAAATTTAACAGAAGGAGTGCATGATGTGTACATTGTAAAACAAAACATGCTGAAAGAAAGTGAAGAAGATCTAAACAAGTGGGAAGACATCCCAATGTTTGTAGATGAGATTTTCCTATTGCTAAGATTGCAACATTCCGCAAATTGATCTACAGATACAACCCAATCACTATCAAAATCCAAGTGACTTTTTGGAAGAAATTAACAAACTGGTCCTAAAGTTCATATTTGAGGGACTCAGAATGCCAAAACAATCTTGAAAAAAGAAGAAAGTTGGAAGATCACGTTTCCTAAATTCAAAACTTACTACAATGCTATCATAACCAAGGCAGTTGACACTGGCAAAAAGATAGACATAAAGATCAATGGACTGAGGGTCCAGAAATGAACCTCACAATTACAGCCAACTGATTTTTGACAAGGGTGCCAAAATAATTCAATGGGGAAAGAATACTCTTTTCAACAAATGGTGCTGGGTTGAGTGAATAAATTCAAAGACTGAAGTTGAACTCCTTCCTTAACACTTTTCACAAAAATTAACTAAAAATGGATCAAAGACTTAAATATAAGAGCTAAAACTCTCTTAGAAAAAAATACAGGAGAAAATTTGTGATATTGGGTTAGGCAAAGCCTTCTTAGATATGACCAAAAGCACAAGCAATAAAGAATAGATAAATTTGATGTTATCAAAATTAAACATTTTTGTGCTTCAAAGAGTATCAGAGGAGTGAAGAGATAATCCACCCAATGAAAGAAAATTTTTGCAAATCCTTTATCTGATAAAGGGCTATGTAAAGAACTCATATAACCTAACAACAACAACAAAAAAAAAAAAACCAATTTTAAAAAGGGCAAAGGATTTGAATAGACATTTCTCTAAAGAAGATATACACATGGCCATTAAGCATATGAAAGATGCTCACCATCATTAGTCATTAGGGAAATGCAAATCAAAGCTATACCCACTAAGACAGATTAAAAAAAAACAGAAAATAACAAATGTTGATTTATGTTCCCATCTGGCCTCCAAAAAAGGCTCATTTCACTTAGCACAGCCACATTTTTCAAACACCTGGTTCTTCATTGGCATTCTGTTGAAAGAAGTTCTTCCAAAATAAGAAAATCTCAGTTATGGCTAACCGTTCATCAGTGTGTGGGGTGAGAAGTCCTGTCCGTGCACTTGGTGAGGCCCTGGGGTAGAGCTTAAGAGCTGACAGTAATGATCACGCACTACATGGCATGTTAGCCTCCATCTAGAATGGGTCACCTCCATCTAGAATGGGTTCTTGTGCTTTGTGCTAAGTACTGCCTACATCATTTACATGCTAGCTACCTAAGGAGTCAAGCATCAACATCTCCATTTTCAGAATGAGGAAACATGGATTCCCAGGCATTAAGGCACTTGCCCAATGCAAACAGGTAGAGGCAGCCCTGGGATTCACACCTGTGTCTGCTCGACTCTTTTCATCATGCCAGATTTCTTTTTTAAACTGTGGTAAAATATACATAAGATGAAGTTTACCATTTTAACCATTTTTAAGTGTACAATTCAGTGTCATTGTATATATTCACAAAGTTGTATAACCACTACCACCATCTAGTTCCAAACTTCTGCATTACTCAAAACAGACATTCGGTAACCCCGTAATGCCCTCTTCCTCACACCCTAGCCCCTGATAACATCTATTTCACTCTCTGTCTCTATGAATTTTTCTATTCTGGATACCTCATAAGAGAGGAATCGTACAAGGAGTACTACTTGTGTCTGGCTTCTTTCACTGAGTATATCGGCAAGGTTCACGCACATAGGAAAACACATGTCAGAACCTCCTTTTCACGCCTGAATGATATTTCCTTGCATGTATATACCACATTTGTTTATCTCTTCATCCACTGATGGGCATTTGGGTTGTTTCCACCTTTTGGCCCCTGTGAATAATGCTGCAATAAACATTGATATGCAAGTAAAAAAAAAAAAAAGAGAAATGAAAACATGTCCACACAAAAACTGTACATGTATGTTCATAGTAGTATTATTCACAATAGCCAAAAGGGGAACCAACCCAAATGTGTAACAACTGATGGATAGATAAACAAATTGTGGTATGTCCAAATACTGGACTGCTATTCAGCCACAAAAGTGAATGAAGTACTGATACATGGATGAACCTTAAAGATATTACGCTAAGGAAAGAAGACAGTCATAAAAGACCACATATTGAATGATTCCATTTATGTGAAATGTCCAAAGAAGGCAATCTCTAAAAGTATGTGACGGTTGCCTAAGGATGGCAGAGGGACCAACTGGGGGTAAACGGGGAATAATGGCAATGGGTTTGAGTTGATGAAATGTTCTAAAACTGTGTGCTTGTTGCATGGCTGTGAATATACTAAACAACACTTCAAAGTGGAAGGATTATAAGGTTTGTGAATTATATTTCAATAAGCTAAAGTTCAAAGAAGAGATAGTTAAGAAAAACTGTTCAATTTAAAAAGCAAGTTGCAGAAGAGGTGTATGATGGTGATCCTATTTGTGGTCAAAGAAAAAGGACATTTGTAGGTGTATTAAAACTCTCCTGAAGGACCCACGGGAGCTGCACCAGCACTGAGTGGGCAGTGGGAACTGAGGGTAGAGGGAACTTCCTAAAACTTCACACATTTCTATATTGTTTTAACTTTTACTAAGCTAGACTGCTTTCAATATAAATAATAAAGAAGTGACAAAGTTAAAAACTCTTTTAGATCAAGGCAATAATTCCAATTATTAACAGTTCTTTCCATCAACAGGCAGTCTTCTAAATCTTTGGGTTTGACACTTTGACAGTTTTCACAGCAGGAAATATATGTACATCCTAACCCCATACATACCTACAAAATTTCATTTGGAATTTCAGGAAACTGTACTTGGCCTTACTTTGTACAATGCACTCTGTTATTTTCTGTTCCACTTAGTTTTCTTTTGTCTTTCTTTGCTTTAATTTTTTTTCCTTAACACACCACCACCACACTGATTTCTTGACTCAGTTTGGAAGTTACTGCTCTGGGTGTCAACTGCTGGGTTTGTTTCTTCCTCTCTGAGCAAGTCACAGCCGGGCCCACATCCGGCGCCTGAGCCACCTGATCCCACTGGTTACCAAAATCTTCCCCAGGCCCTGTGCCCACTTCTCCCCACTCTTGGCCACTCCCAGCCCCAGAACCTACTCTGCCATGGCTACCTACCCTTGGCCAGAATCCCTGCTGACCACAGTGGTGTGGCTCCTGGAGCTGCCAGGCCCCCCTGATCACTGACCTCTGCGGCCAGGCGAGGGGCCGGGGCCTCAGCTTCAGCCTGTCTGGGCCAGTGGTTAAGAGCCTGGACTCAGGAACCAGGCTGCTGAGGATGCGAATCCTGATTGTGCTGTTGGTGACCTTAACTATGTCAGTCCATCTGGCCAACGTCCCCTTTGTGAGGGTAGCTGAGCGGGGAAGTGGCCTGAGGTCCACAGCTAGTTCATGACCAGAACCCCAGCCTTTGGCCCTGTCCCACCACAGACATTTTCCTTGGCCCTGGGAAACAAGCTGCAGACAAGTAGCTGTGACCCTGCCTGGCACAGTGCCTAGCACTCAGCAGGCATCGACATGTATTCCAGAATTGAGTAAGCAGACTCTATTTTATGGCTTTTGGTTGTGATAAATTGCTCCTAAGGCAGCTGTGGCAATGCCTGCTAACTGTCCCCAACAGCTGCTCTCTCCTTATTAACAGACCCACTGGTCTTTTTTATTTTATTTTATTTTATTATTTTTTTTATTAAGGTATGATGGATATACACTCTTATGAAGGTTTTACATGAAAAAATAATGTGGTTACTACATTTACCCATATTATCAAGTCCCCACCCATACCCCAATGCAGTCACTGTCCATCAGTATAGTAAGATGCCACAGATCCACTGTGT